TTCTTAAACACACCAGCAAGCCACGAGTTCTTAAAACATTACACAAGTGTAAACCACTGGGAAAAGATGGCAGATGGAACAAATGTATATAATTTTACTAACTCTAAAAACCTTAGCAAAACTACATAAAAGTTTTTGTTTTGTTTTTTTAGACAAAAGCTAGAGGGTTTACTGGACACACATTCCTGCTGGATGCCAAATGGCCAAGTGTTAAAAATCAATATTCAGCTGACACCACATGTCACCACTGTATCGTAAGCTTCTGGGTTTACTTCTGGGTCGTAAACTACTAGAACAAATGTGAAATTTAATCAAATTTTTAAAATTGTATTACCATTTTATTATTATTATTATTGTTGTTTTGCCGAGGAAGATTTGCCTTGAGTTAACATCTGTTGCCAATCTTCCTCTCTTTGCTTGAGGAAGATTTGCCCTGAGCTAACATCCGTGCCAATCTTCCCCTATTTTGTATGTGGGATACCACATGCCACAGCATGGCTGGCAAGTGGTGTAGGTCTATGCCCAGGATCTGAACCTGCGAACCTGGGCTGCCGAAGCAGAGCATGCTGAACTTAACTACTAGGCCACAGGGCCGGTCCCTATTAATATATATATATTTTTTGGTGAGGAAGATTGGCCCTGTGCTAACATCTATTGCCAATCTTCCTCTTTATTCGCTTGAGGAAGACTAGCGCTGAGCTAACATCTGTGCCAATCTTCTTCTATTTTGTATGTGGGACACCACCACAGCATGGCTGGTGAGTGATGTAGGTCTGCGGCCAGGATCCAAACCAGCAAATCCAGGCTGCCAAAGCAGAGCGCGTGGAACTTCAGCCACCGGGCCAGCCCCAATCCCTATTAATTTTTTAAAAAATAATTTCTTAGCACTGAGAGCTGCGAGATTGATCCTGTGGTCACTATACTTCATATTTGTGATACTACATAGATGCTCACTTTCAGACAAAGTCATTAGAGAATCAAGATGGTTTTTGCCTAGGTTTGCCAGTCTAGATACTGCTGAGAATGAAAGTGTTACCAAATTATTACGCTTTCTTTCTTCTCATATCACAACTGATAAAAGACTTATCTCCTCTTTAATTTCTAGGTTTGAAGATTTGGTTGATAGTGATGATGCAATTTCATTGAAATAATTCCATAAACTCAAGTTTTGTACACTACTTGACGAATGGTGCTTTCTAAATATTTTCAGATGAGTCTAAGATTGTTGCCCTGACTTACATGTTTTTATTTTAATATTTTTATATGTACTTACTGCTTCACATGATCACTTGAGGAAAATCTGTCTTTAAATCTCGGATCTAAAAGTGCAACAATAGAGTGATGTAACTGGCTTACAAGACACCAAAAAAATAACGAATTTCCATCTATGTCTTGGCTTTTATTGCATCCATGCCAACTTCAGTATCTTCTCAAGAGCAGAATGATGATAGGACTTTTACAGCAGACATTATGTAAGAAATACTTGTATGCTTCAAGGTATATCCACTTGGTTACCTAAGAAAGTTCTAGTAAAAGAACTGCCTTCTCTGTAACCACTGGTTATTAGTAAGTCCTATTATTGTTACTTTCAGAGTCCAATATTAAGGCTATTTTGTTCAAGCAACAATTTTTAATATATAACGTCTCTTCCTGCTTGTTTTAATATCTTGCAGAAGTATATTACAAGGCAGCTTCAAAATCTCTTCTATGTTGTATAATTTTCCTTAGGCCAAAAGAAGTTTTCACTCCTGGAGTCTAGAATCAGTACTACTCTAAATCTGCTAAGAGGGGCCCCAGCTCTGAGACCCATGGCTTAGAGGGCCCCACTCTGGCCCTCCTGTAGCTATGCCACACACCACAGGGTGAGGAGTGCATAGGGCCCAAGTAGTGTGCTCACACAAAGCCTGTGCCTCATCCCCTTCTAGGGGATGCTCCAGATACCTAGGACCATAAAGTTCTAACCAAATTGCCTGGAACCCAATGCCAGGGCCTGTTCCTGAAGTCAAGCCTCCTGAAGGCAGACGATGCCACCATTTGGTGCATGCTCAACCCAAAGAGTGCTCAAGGGGTGGCTGTTTGCTGGGGGTATAGATGGAGCTTGGACATGGGGCCTGACGTATGTGTGAGGTCTTTCAAAACACAGGACATAGAGCCAAGGGTAGGGGAGGAAGGCGGGCAGGCCTCAGACTGGGGGCTGGCTCTCTCCACAACATCATGTTACAAAACAGAACCTAAAAAGGCCAAGAATTCATAATTTGATTTTGGACTTCCAGATCTTCATGAGGATATATTTGCCAAAGTAGAAAGATAGAGATTTTTTTTAAGTCTGTAAGCTTGTTGTATAATTTTAAACTATGTAGCTATGTAGACATATGTTATATGAGCCCCTGCTTGTATTCCTGCCCCAGGCCCAACTGTTAAAGTGAACCTGTCCAGAATTGTTATAAATATTTGATATTATGACACTGACATCATCACTGATTAGACACAATAGTAACCTGGAACGATCTTTTCCCAGATTTTGATACGGCTGACTCACTTTTATTATTCAAGTGCCAGCTTACACATCACCTCTCAGAGAAGTCTTCCCTAAGCACTTAATATAAAGCAGCCCTCATGAATCACCCTTCATCACATTGCCCTGTTTTATTTTCTTCACTGCCCTTACCAATATCTGAAATTATTTTTGTAAATTCCACCACAGCAGGGACATTGCCTGCCTTGTTATTCATTTATAGACTAGCAGATTCTTGTTTTATGCGATGAGTTATAATCTGTAACTATCATTTATTTTGTGGCTCAGATTGTCCCTGATCTGGCTACTATGTTACCTTGTATCCTTTTGTCACGGCTCCATCTTTTTTTAGCATTTCTTACTTTCTGGCACCACAAAATGTTCCAGGGTCATCTTACACTTTTATGCTCCAGCCCAAGGAGCCCTAGTTTCTATTATTCTCCAGTCTCTTTAATCTTCAATAATTACAATGATTACATGCAAAATTATAGACTAAAGTGAATTTACCAAAATTGTTCTACTCTATGAGGTTTGGCTCTACCTTAGTGACTAGCTGATATCCCCAGACACCATCTCTAGCTCACCAAACAACTACAGAGACAAGAAATAGGACCATATCTTTAAATAATAATATTTTAAAATAATGAATATCAAAAGTTTAAAAATATTAAATACCAAAAAAAATGCGTTTTTGGTGCTAAGACCAAGACCCGAGGAGAACATCCTCACAATGTAGAAGAGTAGACTATTAGGTTTTTGTTACTGCTGTTATTTATTGGTTTTATAAACTTGGACAGAGTTATCCTGTGCAGGTAAAAGGGGAAGTTCTGTAATGTGACTTATTCCATTATATACTAGCTCTGTGTCCTCAGGAAAGTTACTCTACTGTTCTAAACCTCAGTTCCTTCTCTGTAAAACGGGAATAATAGTGCTCATCTCATAGGGCTGTGATAAAATTTCCTTGTAAAGCAGTTAGCACAGTCCTGGCACATTATGAGAGCTCACAAATACCCAATATTTCATTACTGTCCTGGGCAGAGTATGGCTATACGACCTTTTAAATATAAGGAGGGAGTTTGGAAAGTTCCAAAGGGCACATGTAGCATTTTCTCTTAACTGAGCAAGCCAATAATGTTAATAAAACATTATTTAATGCATTTCCTTTCCAAGCATCTGCTTTACTCAAGAAACTTGAGGGAACTCACAGTTGCCTGCGGGGAAAATGTGGAGAGGGGAGGAGGAGGAGAGAGTGCTCCCATCAACAACACATTTGTTCAACTTCCACGTTTAGTTACCTTTAGATACACAAATTTTTTGCCTAGTTCATAGTTGGATTCACTTGCTGTAGCTTCTTTAAAGAAAAAAAAAAAACTTCATATACTAAAGGCACTGCAATTAGTAATACCCTCTCATGACTTAGTTAATTATTGGCTAACATTCAATGGGCAGACGGCTCATTGAAGTGAATCTTACTAGCTACATGATTTTAATCATAACTTGGTTCCACGATGGTAAACCTCCAAAGAATGTTATAATGAGAAAACAATGTCCTTCTGGGCTTCTAAAAATAACTCAGAATCCTGCTAGTAGCAGTATTTTCAAAAATGTTTAAGCTTTCTGGCTGACAAGTTAGCAATATGTAGTTAAATCCTTAAAAGTATGCATTTTTTTTCTGAATAGTAATTACAATCCTAAAATTTGCCTGAAAGAAGTAAGAATGCAAAACTGTATGTATAAGAATTTTCATTACAACATTGTTTATAACAGCGAAACATTAGAAAGAGCCTATATTTCCAATAATGGATGACAGATTAAACTGTGGTAGAGCTATACAATAGAAAAGTACATAGCCAATAAAAATAAAGACACGGGTCTACATTTGTTGATGTGGAAAGATGATCATGATGCATTTTATAATGGATATCACATTACACAAGAGAATATATATGATTCCAGTTCTTTTTTTTTTAGAATATACGGTATGTATCTACATTATGATACACCTAACTATGTATAAGTACAGATATCCAAATATAGAAGGATCTATACCAAAATATTAATAGTGACTATGTTTGGGTGAAGAATTGGGAATAGTTTAAAATTTTCTTCTTTGTACTTATTTCCCCTTTTTTCAGTTTTTACAGTAAGCATGTATTACTTTACAATCATAAAAAGTTTAAATACCAATCAACCAACCACTGAACCATAAAGAATCTCAATATCTGACTTGTCCCATGTCTTTAAGCACTGATGATAATTGCCAAAATGCCCTAGAATTAAAGAAGGCAAGTATACTACTTCTCAGGATAAAGGAGGGCCTATAATTCTCAGATGCGACAAGGAAGAGAACTTTCAGGGTATGATATCAGGCATAAATATTAGCATAGCCCTTAGGCCCAGGAATTTATCAGACAGACAGAGGAAAAAAGTTCTCCTTAATAACAGTATAGGTAATATACACACTTTGAAGTAGGAAAAAACTTACTGCAGTGGATAATCTGGATGCCAACGTCATTTCCAAGTTCCCTTTGAGACCAAGAAGTGCAGGAACTAAAATGAAAACTTCTGTTACTTTTTTGAATACCTCCCAGTGCTGTAAGAAAAAAAAATAGAATTTTCTGACACTCTTTAAAAAACACTTTAGAACAAAGACATTTCTAAAAATCTCAAGCTTTATTTCCAATGTTGCATTTACATTTTGAATGACTACATACGTCATTTAATCAGTGAACATTTAGCTTAACCCATTCTCCAGAGCTCTGAAACCTTGAGTTACTTTAGAAGATTCAGTTCGAGTTGGGAGTGATAGCTGATATGATATAGTCACTACATTCCAAAATACATCTAGCTTGTTACACAACTCGGATACTCTTAAATTTTACTTTATCCCTTTATGATGGCAAGAGTGAATGTAACTAGTGGTTAAGAGCACAGACTCAGGAACCAGATAACCTGGATTTGAATCTTGGTTCCAACACTAATTACAACCACCCCACAGTATTATTATCTAATTTCACAAATGAAGAAATAAAGGTTCAGAGAAGTTAAATGATTTTCCCAAGGTCAAAAGATGGGACCTAGAACTGACTTCAAGAGTTCCAAGTCATCCCATATTCTGGTTCCCATTTTAGGGTGTAAGGCAAGAGGCTGCAGAGTACAGAATCATAAAAAGAAAGGGGATGCTGAGGCAGCTAGTGCCAAAAATAAATTTCACCTACTTACAAATTTTGCCATGATACAGACATGTTCTCTGATGTTATGGAGATTATTATGAACTGCTAGACTTCTCCATAAGAACCTGCCCTAAAGGAAATCAACTTCTAATCTTACCTAATTTTGGACTTCTGTCAATATTCAGAATCTTAGGCAAGTACCCACACATCAAATGTAATGTCAGATTTCTCATATATGTACTACATTGACTCAAAACCTAAACATCTATTAACCAAAAAGACAAAAATGAAACAAAAAAACCCCAAGAAAAATAAAATAGTTGAGGAATACATCCATAGAGTCCTAACTTAAAAATAAACAGAAAAAGTTTTTAAAAATCTAATTGGTAAAAGAAGTTTATGCAATGTTAAGAAACATATATACCCCATATCTAGAGAAGTTCTGCTTCTCATTTTAACTTAGTTTAAAAAACTAAACCTATTTGCTTCCAGACATATGACAAAATGACCAACCTCATTCATAATTAAAGAAATGCAAATTAAAAGGTGATCAATTTTCATCTGTAAGATTGGTAAAGGTCAAGAAGTTGAAGAATACTCTGTTGGTAAGAGTATAAGGAACTAGGTGCTCTATCACACTATCGGTGAGAATGTAAAGGTTTAACTTCTTTGGGGCAATTTGGCAATATCTGTCAAATATAAAATGTACATAATTTTCAACTCAGAAATCTACTTAAAGTATCTATCCTACAAATAAACTTGCACATGAGTTCTAACACATATTCAAGTTTACTTCATCATTGTTCATATAGCAAAAGATTTGAGGCAATTTAAATACCCTTCATTAAGTACCTTGGTAGAAAAGTAATGACACATCCTTGCAATAGAGCATTAACGTAGCTGGAGAAGAATCCGATAACTCTCTATGTACCTATATAGGAGCTCCAAGATAAATTAAGAAGAGCAAGGTGAAGAGCAGCATTGTAAGGTGTGTTTTAGCGAACATATATATATAGTATATATATATGTGCATGTACCTGCATTTAATATTTATTGAAGTAGACACAGAAAAAACAGGGACAGTAATTTCTAAGGAAGGGAATGGGGAAGAGCACATACAGGAGAAAGACTTCTTTCTCCACCATACATTCTTTCATACAGCTTAAATATGCTTTACTAGATACATAGATTACTTTTCTCATTAAACTTTTTCTTTTGAAATAATTGTAGATTCACATGCATTATAAGAAATAATACACAGAGATCCGATGTACCCTTTACCCAGTTTCCCCTAATGGTAATATCTTGCAAAACTGTAGGACAATATCACAACCAGGATATTGACACTGATGCAGTCAAGATGCAGAACATTTCCACCACAAGGATCCCTCCTGTTACCCTCTTATAGCCACATCCACGTGTCCCCACTCTCTTTCTTACTCCCTGGCAACCACTCTTCTGTTCTCCATTTCTATAATTTGTCAATTCAAGAATGTGATATACATGAAGTAATATAGTACTTTTCATGTTTATTTGCCATCTGTACACACTCTTCAGTGAAATGCCTCTTTTATCTTTTGCCAATTTTCTAATTGGGTTTTTTTTCTGTTGAGTTTTGAGAGCTCTTTATATATTCTAGTCTTTTGACAGATATGTGGTTTGTAAATATTTTCTTCCACTCTGTAGCTTGGCTTTTCATCCTTTTAACAAGCTCATTCACAGAACAAAATTTTTATTTGATGAAGTCCAATTTATCCGTTTTTCCTTTTATGGATCACGTTTTTGGTGTCAAGACTAAGACATCTTTGCCTAGCTCTAGATCCTGAAGATTTTCTCCTATGATTTTCTAAGTTTTATAGTTTTACATTTTATATTTTAATGTGTGATCCATAGTGAAATTATTTTTCTATAAAGTGTGAGACTTAGATTGGGGTTCTTTTTTTTTTTTTTTTTTTTTTGCCTATGGAAGTCTAATTGCTCCAGCACCATTTGCTGATACGGCGATTTTTCCTCCATTGAATTCCTTTTGCACCTCTGTCAAAAATTAGTTGGATGTATTTGTGTGGGTTTATATCTGGGGTGTCTATTCTGTTGCATTGATCTATGTGTCTATCCCTCCACACCACACAGTCTTGATTACTGTGGCCATTTTAATAACCTTAAAATCAGGTAAACTGATCCCTCCCACTTTTTGTTTTTCAAAATTATTAACGCTCTTCTATTTTCTTTCCCTTTGCATATAAATTTTAGAATATTATTTATATCTACAAAAAATCTTGCTGGGATTTAAAAAGTTCTGTTAAGCCCGTATATTGATTTGGGGAGAACTGACATCTTTATTATGTTGAGTCTTCCAAGCCATGAAAATGGCACTTCTCTCCATTTATTTCAGATCTTCTTTGATTTCTTTCATCAGTGTTTTTGCTTTCAGCATACAAGTCCTATTCATGTTTTGTTAGATTTACATGTAGGTATTTATTTTTAGAGTAAATGTTATTGTATCTTAAATTTCAACATCCACATATTCATTGGTAGCACAGAAATAGAATTTATTTTTGCATGTATTGTGCATCCTGCAACCTTGCTGAACTCATTTCTCAGTTCCAGGAGCTTTTTTGTAGCTTCCTTGGGACTTTCTAAGTAGGCAATCTCGTCATCTGCAAATAGGGACGGTTTAATTTCTTCTTTTCCAAACTGTGTGCCTTTTTTTCCTTTTCTTGCTTTATTGCACTATGTTGAATAAAGGTGATGAGTGTGGACATTCTTACCTTGTACCTGATCTTAGGGGAAAAGTATTCAGTGTCTCACCATTAAGTATAATGCTGAGGAAGTTCCACTCTATTCCTATTTATCTGAGAGTTTTTATCATGAAAGGGTGCTGAATTTTGCCAAATGCTTTTTCTGCATCATTTGATACGATCATGTGATTTTCTTCTTTAGCCTGTTAATATGGTGAATTACACTGATGATTTTTCAAATATTGAACCAGACTTGCATCCCTGGAACAAACCTCACTTGTTCATGTTGTAAAATTCATTTATATATGGGTTAATTCTCTTTGCCAGTGTTTTGTTCAAGATTTTTTCTGTCTATATACAGGAGAGATATTGATCTGTAGCTTTTTTTTTCTTTTTGCATTGTTTCTGGTTTTGGTATCTGGGTCATAATAGCTTCTTAAAATGAATTGGGAAGTTTTCCCTCCTCTTCAATTTTCCAGAAAAGCTTGTGTAGAATTAATGTTAATTCTGCTTTAAACATTTGGTTAGAATTTTCAGGTGAGACTCTCTGGGGCTGAGGATTTCATTTTTAGGAGTTTTTTTAAAATTATGAATTCAATTTCTTTAATAGGTATAGAGCTACTCAAATTATCTATTTCATCTTGGGTTAATTGTGTTAGTTATGTTTTTCAAGGAAGTGGTCCACTTTAAGTTGTAAAATGTATGTATATAGAGTTGTTTGTAGTACTCCTTTATTATCCTTTTGATGTCCTGCATTTCGTTCTGATATTGGTAATTTATGTCTTCTCTCTTTTTTTTTTTATTGTCAGTCTTGCTAGAAATTGTCAGTTGTTTTGATCTTTTCAAAGAACCAGCTATTTGTTTCATTGATTATCTCTACTGTTTTCATGCTTTCAATTTCATTTTGCTTTTATCTCTATTATTTCCTTTCTTCTGCTTGCTTTGGGTTTATTTTGCTCATCTTTTTCTAAGTTTGAGATGGGAGCTGAGATTACTGATTTGAGATTTTTTCTCATTCTAACATATGCATTTAATTCTATAAATTTCCATCTCTGTATTGCTTTACTTATGACTCAGACATTTTGATGTTATATTTTCATTTTCATTCAGCTCAATGTTTTGTTTTTTATTTTTCTTGAGACTTCCTCTTTGACCCACAGATTATCTAAAAGTATGTTGTTTCATTTCTAAGTGTTTAGAAATTTTCCTCTGATCTTTCTGTTACTGATTTCTAGTTCGATAATATTGTGGTTGGAGAACATAATCTGAATGATTTCAATATTTTAAATCTGTTGAGGTTTGGTTTATGGCCCAGGATACAGTCTATCTTGGTATATGATCCATGACAGCTTGAACAGAATGTGCACACTGTTCTTTTTGGGTGCAGTGTTCTATAAATGTCAATTAGATCTTGTTGGTTGATGGTGTTGTTGAGTTCTTCTATATCCTTGCTGATTTTCTATCTAGTTGTTCTTGAGAGAAGGGTGAGAGAAGGGTGCTGAAGCTCCAACTATAATTGCAGATTTTTCTATCTCACCTTTCCGTTCTATCATTTCTATCATTTCTATCATTTCTTTCCTCTCATTATCAGCCAACAAGATCAAAGTCCCAGCACCCTACATGCCCTTCTTTGATATCTTCTTGGCTAAAGTGTTGGGGTACCTCATTACAGCATCTTTTTC